GAGATCTCGAAACCTTTTTGAATTTGAATTATTTCGATGGGTTTGAGTTTGAATTCATGGATCTGAATGAATCAAGAGCAGGGGAAGGAAATGAGATGGGGGTGGGGGGGTGAATGTTTCAATTTGTTTGTGATTTGGTATCAGGTGTTGTACGTATGTATTGCTCTGTTCTCTGTCTGTGTTTGGGGACGGCGTGGAGTGGGTTTTTCTTTTTCTTTTTCTTTTCTTTTTTCTTTTTTTTTATTATTTTTTACTTTTTAACTTCCCCTTAGATTTGGATTCAGAAGAAGAAAAAATTTTAAAACAGCCTCAAACCATGTTTTAGTTTTCAAAACCGACCCATTTTTTTTTTTACCAAAATCGATCAACTTTTCGCCATGTCAGCTTAATCTCATTCCTAAACAGTCGGGGTTGTCAACCCCGACTGTTTAGGAGGTTGTTAGATGCTAATTAGAAGCCTTAAACCCGATTTCTTATGTCCTAAATAGTCGGGGTTGGCAACTCCGGCTAATTAGAAAATGAGATTAAACTGACGTGACAAAAAGTTAGTTGATTTTGGTAATAAAAAAATTGGGTCGGTTTTAAAAATTAAAACATGGTTTGAAGGCTGTTTTGAAAATTTCTTTCTTCATAAAAATTCACGTGGCAACAGAAAGGTTTGTTTTCATTGTAACCCTTGAACCATAAATAATTCTAAAATTCATCAAAAACTAATCATCTTCATACAGTCCTCTCGTAAATTTTCTCTACTTCAACTTTTTAGGTGACAAAATTAAAATATCCATTTATTGAAGATAACAAATTTACGTGTAAACATTTGATGTGAGCATCACTTTAAGCATCACAAGAGTGTGCGTTGGCCAAGACCTGATGTAAGCCCCCGATGTTTTACTTCGTAAATCAAACTATTTGACTGACAGAACCTTACAACCCGAAGCTGGTCGTGTTTGACTTCTCTTCCACCTCTTTTCCCCCATGTTAATAATAAATCAATCAATATCTTCATCAAAGTTTTGTAATTATCTGAATATTGCCACATTGGAAACCTAAAGGTACGTGGCAACGCATATTTCTTGTTATCAAGCTAAAGCACCATTAGGTTTTTCTATTGATCATCTTTTATTGATTAAAACAGACACTTTAAAACCTTATATCACATATTTACCATGATAAATGAATATGAGCAATAGAATGACCTCATGTTGCTTCAGTTTGATAACAAGAAACATGTGTTGTATTGGTGTGGTATCAAGTAGGGGTGGAAGTAGGGGTGTCCAAAAAGCTCGGAGCCCGGTGTCCGGCCCGGGCCCGGCCCGGTCGTGCCCGGAACATTGCCAAAAATGGCGCACTTGCGTTCTTCGAAATGGCCGGCGCCGCGGCCGGACCGGCCCGGCCCGGCCATAACGGTCACAAAGGCCGGGTTGGCCCGGCCCGGCCCGGGCCAAATCTGGCCTAACGGCCAGATTTGGCCTTTTGACCGTTTTGCCCCTTAAAACGGTCAAAAACGGCTATTTTTCGAGGGTTTTTTGGTCATTTACCTAGGGGGCTGGTTCTATAAATAGAGGGGGGTTTCAATTCATTTTCTCACAACAAAACTCATCTATTTCTCTCTCTACTACTCTCTTATACAATAATATACTATCCTATAATCTTTTGTATTTTCTAATACTTCCAACAAATGGCTTCTGGGTCTGATTATGAAGAGCAACATGCAACTCCTACCGATCCAGAGATGAGTCCTCCTACAACAACTCCTCATCCTACCGGTGTTAATCCTGAATCTGGTGGTGACGAATCTACGGCACCAAGAGCTCCAAAAAGGCCGAGGTCTGATGTATGGAATTTTTTTGAGAAGATAGACGTCACCAAGGATGAACACGGTAGGATCATCTCTCAGAATGCGAAATGTGCGCTGTGCGGCCAGATATTCAAAGCTCATCATAAGAGCGGCACCAACCATCTCAAACGGCATATTGAAAAACACAACAAAGGCCAAAATCTACAAGGTGATATCCGGCAGTCTATGCTTTCCCAATCATCCTCTTCAGGTACCCTCGGCAGTTGGAATTATGACGCTGCCCGAGCCCGGAAATGCGTAATCAGGTTTATTGTTCTTAAAAACCTTCCTTTTAAATTAGTAGAAGATGATGAATTTGAAGATATGTTTAGAGATGGTTTTTATCCTGCATTTACAAAATTTTCTCGTCAAACCTGTCAACGTGATATTTTAAAATATTATGTTGAGGAACAGGGAAAAATAATTTCTTATTTTCAAAATTTAAACTGCAAATTTTCTTTAACTTCTGATATTTGGTCATCTAGAGTGCAAACTGGTTATTTATGTATAACAGCACACTGGATTGATGAAAGTTGGAAAATGTTTAAAAGAGTTGTTTCTTTTATTGCAATTGAAGAGGCACACACTGGTATTAATGTTGCAAATTTAATTGTTGAAGAACTTGGACAACTAAAAATTGATCAAAGAATATTTACTATTTCACTAGATAATGCAAGTAATAATAATGTAGCTGTTGATTTTCTGAAAATAACTTTGTCATTGCCATGTCATGGTGAGCTTTTTCATGTTAGATGTATCTGTCATATTTTAAATTTAATTGTTCAAAGTGCATTTTCTGAAATTAAACCCATGATAGAAAAAGTTAGAACAGTTACTAATATGCATAATGCTTCTGAAATGAGAATTAAAAGATGGAAACAATGTTGTAAAAGAAAAAATTATAAGCCTAGACTAATTCCAAAAGATGTTGACCATAGGTGGAATTCCACCTATGCAATGTTATCTGTAGCAATAGAATATAAAGAAATTATAAATGATTTTATAAATTTTTATGCTTCTAGTTCTAGCTCTGGTAGTGCTTATGGAATAACTGAAGATGAATGGACAGTTATATGTAAATTAAATGAGATGTTACAAGTTTTTTATGATGCTACTATGTTATTATCTGGTTGTTATTATCCAACTATTACTTTAGCTGCTTTACAAATTTTAAATATTCAAATTTTTTTTACAAAATATCGTATGGATGATATTTTTGGAAGTATAATTTTTGAAATGGAGAGTAAATTTAATAAGTATTTTAGGCCTATTCCTCATATTTTTGGTATTGGTGTTCTTATTGATCCATGCTTGAAGGAAATTGGCCTTCGAAGTTTGTTACAATCATTGTATGGTGGACAGATTATAGACTTAGATGATGGATCCACCCTTACTGCTACTACTCATTATTTAGCTATTAGAAATTATTTTCAAACCTTATATGATGAGTATGCAGCTAGATATGGTGTAGCTACACAACAGTCTTCAGCTTCGGCACCTTCAGCTTCGAGCACAGGTCGAGGTAAAAGTGTAAGTTTTGATAGGTATGCAATGGTAGCTGAACTAACTGGTGGATCTGGAACTTCATCAGGATTAGATGTTTCTGAAATAGATGAATATTTTTCTGCTTCTTTAGTTAGATGTCAAGGAAATGCTTTAGATATTTTGCAATGGTGGAAAGTATATGGATCAGTTTCATATCCTATACTTTCCACCATGGTTCGTGACTTACTATAAGTGCAGGTTTCGACTGTAGCCTCGGAATCCGCTTTCAGCACAGCAGGACGTTTGATCGACGACCACAGGACATGCTTAGATCCGTATACTGTACAAGCGGTGATGTGCTTACAGGATTGATGGAGATACGAGAAGCGAACACAAGGCATCGAACGGATTGCGATGATTGAAGATAAATTTGAAGAGTTGGGACTAGCAGATAGATATAATGATTAGATAATATTCATAAAATTGTAATTTTTATTTCTTACGGCCCGGACCACCCGAGCCCGGGTCCGGGCTTGGGTTTTGCCCGGCCCGGGTCCGGGCTTGGGTTTTGCCCGGCCCGGGCCCGGATTTCCGGGCCGGGCCGGGCCGGGCCGGCCCGGATGGACAGCCCTAGGTGGAAGTGAACCAAATAATAAATAAACAGTTCGGTTATTATTCGTCCATATATTCGATCAAGTTCGATTCGATAGTTCATTTAGTACTAAACAAATAATTTTTAGTATTCGGCTTATAAATGAATAGTTATTAACGAAATGTATGTTCGATTCGGAAGTTCATTAACAATTCGATTAGTTTTTACATTTTAGTCCTATTAATTGAATTTATTGCAAATTTACTTATGTAATTTTTTATTTACAAATGTCACCAATATAAATAGGTAAGAGGGAATCCAAGGGCTAGGGTTTCTCCTTCGTTTCTAAATTTCTAATTCTATCCGCCACCGGCCCTCCTCCAGATCCAAACTCCATAGTCTATACGCTACTTCTCCATCAACGAATCTCATTCTCTCTCGAAGCTCGTCGTTCATTCCTCCCTCGAAGCTCGTCGTCCCTCGGAGCTCCTCGTCCCTCAAAGAGCTCGTTGTCCCTTGAAGCTCGTCATCCCTCAGAGATCTCGTCGTCCCTCCAAGCTCGTTGTCCTTCGGAGTGTTAGACCCTAGAGGGGGGGTGATTAGGGTCTTATGCTAATCTAATCCGATTATATGCCAATTAAAATTAATTAACAAGTTATCCTAGCAAGAATGAAATACAACAAGATATATGAGCTAGGATAAGCAATATGAACTAAGGGATATATCCTAGCAATGAGATATACTATGAGATATATGTAAGGATATATAGTTAACACAAGGGTAAACAAACTAAACTAGATAGTGGGCAATATAATCAACAAGCAATATACAAAGGCGATATAAGATATAAAAAATAAGTGCGCCAATGCAATCACAGACAAACGATATGATTACGGAGTTCGGTCCCCACGACCTACATCTCCGCTCCTCACCTCGAGGAGATCTCCACTATTACAACCGGGTTTTCTACGTTCACCCGAACAACGTTTACACCTCACAATACAATCACTATGTAATCACACCTCACACACTAAGTGTTGGTCCTAGCCCGTGTC